ATTCTTATTTTCTCTGAAAACACAGTTTCTTTGTTTGTTTTCACTTTTTTTTTTGAGAAAAGTGTGGAGCTCTTGGGACTGTTTTTGAAAGGATTCTGAAAGCGAATAACTCTAGTGATGTTTGATTTCTGTTACAAACCTCATATTTATTTTACATTTTCATATTCTTGGAATATTGGGCGAAAATTTTCCAGCGATTCAACTGACAAGTTTTCTGTTTTGCATTGACCGGTGCTACATCGGCTGGTGATTTTAGATTTGGTTGATGACTCAGATGCTCGTTCCATCAGCTGGGAAAGTTACTAATTCAGCATTGCCCCAGCAGAAGTATTTAGCAAGATTGACCATTTTGAGGTATTTTTGGTGTCTGGTGAGTACCGTCACCTCATTCCGAATGGTGCTACTCACTTAGATTTGTCACATAATGATTTATTGCTTTTTGTTGTAAATTGCGTGAGAAGCTCCGGTTCATTCTTTGGACATCCTACTCCCTTTAGAGTTATGCAGTTTTTGTGATCTATGACAAACCGGGTATAAAAGCATTCCTCCGCATCTTCCGGCTCTAGTGTGTTTTGCTCCTTCTTCAGACCACTCTGTTCTGGTGATCTTCGGTACCCCAGAGCCTCGCCACGTTTTACTTTTTATTCTGCTCTTATATTTCAAGTTCTATATGTAACTATAGTGTCTTGTATATAATTATGAATGTATAGCTATCACTAGGTATTAGCTAGCGTACACACTTTACCACATACAAGCAGACCAGTTTGATCCCCAATCAGTTAGGGTAGCGATAGTTCACTGTGCGGTAAGCCGTTTGTAGCATCCATGTTGATGGGTGCCAGAGTAGGGGGAGTGTATATAAAGGAGAAAAACAGTAGGAGAAAAACAGTAGGAAAAACAGTTGAGTTAAGACGTTTCGGTACATTAAATTACCGACTGAAGGCACGTTTTCTTAGCTTTTAATAAATTTCATATTGTCATGAAGTTGCTGTACTGGTTGCAGGCTCACAGCGGACTGATAACGTCGCCTTTGCAAAGGGTCCTCGAAGTGGTGGTAACGCTGTACTCCTTCGAAGCCCAGAATACCGAAGAATTATCTTTTCGTAAAGGTATGCATCAATCGATGTTTATAAGCTAAAGAGAAAAAAAATGCACAAAGTTAACTTTTATCGAAACAGTCAATTTGAGATCGAAAGTAGTATGTAAGGTTTGACATGCTTTTTTTTACTGGCAAAAATTTATTTGGTTTTTCTTAACTCACTACTACGTGGATTCATCTTTGCATTGAGTTTTAAAAAAAAAACAGGGGGTGATCCGGCCTTGAATTTAAAAAATTAGACGACTCATCCTCGCCCTGTCTTTCTGAAAAGTTTGACTCAATTCTGCCCCCCGCCCCCAAATTTCAGAGAAGTAGCTTGAGTTTCAGAAAAAACTTTTGGCGTGGATTTTGTTTTTGGTTTTTAGTTTTGCTATAGTCATTTCGGGGCTTCTATGTGAAGACGAAAACATCTTCAGCAACAGTGTACCGGAAAAATCATGCTAATGGGAAATTTTGCTTAGGAATTCCGTTTCGTTATATTTTATGTTATCCCTCCTTGTGATTCTGGAATATTGCGCCCAGCAGTCCTTTTCATTCGCTTCGTAAAAGAAGAAGAATGCTTTTGTAGTTTTAGACACTAATTTTATGACACCGCTGCTGCATAGATGACTGCTGCATTTTAATTTTAGTTGGTATATGTTTATGAAAGATGTAAGGAAATAAAAAAGGAAAATATGAATAAGATTAAAATCTGGGTGGGAATTCTTTCTGGGTTTGTTGAAATTTTTAAACCAGTAAACTTTGACTGGTTTTTTTTTAACAAAAACTTTTGTAAAAATTTTAGATTGTCAAAGATCTGAAATCATTTCCAGGCGAGCGTTTAGAAATCATCGATCATCCAGCTCACGACCCGGAATGGTGGAAAGCTCGGAACGAAAAGGGTTGCACCGGACTTGTCCCAACGAATTACATCGAGGTTTTTCAATTGTTGCTACGTGTTTTGTTCATGAATATTTGTACAAAATGCATATTGTTACAACTCTGTCTGTACGCGTGTGCTATGGGTATGTCCGTGTGCGTCTTGTTCCGCATTTTCAGCTGAAGGAGGCGTAAAGTTAAGAAGTTGAAATAAGGGGAAATGTCTTCTGTCCGCATGCATCCCAACAAATTCAGCCTCCACGTATGCCTGGGTCTCATTTGTGGCTCCGTGGAAATTTTGTCGAGAAAATTTTCTAACTCGGAAACTGAAAGAACTAGGAGGCTAATATTTAAGGGGAATGTTTTTTGCCTGTGCGGGGATCTCACAAATTCGAATTTAGCTCTCACATATGTCTGTATCTCGCACAAGTCCACATGAAATTTTTGACACAAAATTCATTAATTCGAAAACCAGAAAGCTAGAAAGCTGGAATTTTGAAGGGATGTTTCCCATCCAGATGCAGTCCAAACCTTTCAAATTCACCTTTCGCGTACTGTTGTGTTTCACGTAGCGGCAAGTGAAATTTTTATAGAAAATCCGGCGCTTAGAAAGCAGGCAACATGTCGACTGTTTTTGCACACACCATGGTTTAAAACAATGAAAATTCCTGAGGTTAAGCATTCACTGGACGGAACTGCGCCAAACCCATTATCGTACCGGCTATCCTGGTGCGCACCGCTATTTATTTTTTTTTTGTAAATTGCTTTCTAAACATGTTCCTTGTGATACTGTTGAACATTCGTGGAACATCATCAGCTCTGTAGGTTGTGGAAACGAATCCTGACCCGGCTGTCAACCATTTCGCTTTATCGTCCATGTCAGAGCGGAGGTTGAAGAATTCCGCAAGCAACACTGGAATTTCTCCCCGAAATGGAAGGTTGGTATTTTGCAGCTCAGATTGAATTTTTGGGAAATTTTCTCTTGAACGCCATGTATTTGGTGGTGTAGAAAGTTAAAACTAGTACTCTTTTTTATGCACTTTTCGTGATTTTATTCACTTTTTATCCACTAAAATTAGTACTTTTTTATTAGTTTTTACCCTCTTTGAAAGATGCGTAAAACGGTGGGCCTCGAGATTAAGGTTTGAAAGCTTTTTGTTTGAGAAATTTGAAAAAATTTGCTGCTTTTCAAGTTAAATTTTGGTTTTGAACCGTTATTTGAGTTTTAATCAGTGATGCTGCTGCTGTTACAGCTCTCCTCCTCGACTCAGCGGTCCCTACGCAACTCAGCCATGGTACTATGGAAGATTGTCGCGCGATGAAACCGATACATTGTTGAATGCGCGTGGTACCGATGGTGATTTCCTTGTTCGGGACAGCGAAAGCAATGTAACGCCATACTCATCATTTTGTGTAACTGTGAGATAAAGAAAATTAGAAAGGTATTAATAGTAATTAAACGAACAAATGCCCAGCGCACCGACTGCCAATGCGAAGATGTGTTTTTTTCATAGTTCCCCGCAGATTTTTGTCGCTAATGGCATCGGTTTTTCCGGCATATGCTTCTAGCTAAAAGAACTGAGACAGGCCGTCAGGATTGTCAGGAAACATTCTCTTAAAATTTAGCTTTCTAGTTTTCCTGGTCTCCGACTTACTAACTTACCCGCAAAAACCTTTCACGGGCCCGTACGTGGGTACCACGCATACGCAGGGACTGGGTTGGAACTCATGAACACTTACGCGGATGGGCAACATTTCCTTAAAACTACAGTTTTCTAGCTTTCCAGGGTCCGAGTTAGCAGCTTGCCCGTAAAAAACTTTCACGGGCAAGAGCGCCCATTTTGAGGATGGGGTCCGTAAACGCATGTAGATTAAGTTCCCAAAGTTTCAGCCCTGTAGCTTTTGTAGGCCTAGAGATGAAAAATCGGTACAGACGAACACACAGACACACATACGCA